TCTTTGCTTAGCAGAGTTATCTTTTTCTGCTATAATCATTTGGTCTCAGTCCCAGCTCTTTCATTTGAAAGCACCATTTGTGTCTCCCTTTGCTAATCTGCATGCATGCAAAAGCCACTGGACGCAGCACTACTATTTGTATTGTTCTGTGCTCCATGCACATGGGATCAAAGTCCATTTCAGTCTCCAGCCGCACAGTTTTTAGTTCAAGCTATAGAAAGTATTGCTGTTAATACTAACAATCCCAAACTTGACCCCTGTTCTTGTACATGACAGTAACCATCACATAAATAATTTAGAACCGGGGGACTGGTAAGTCATCTTGGAAATGCTGGTGTGAATACTGTTGTACTGTGACTCATTTTGAATACCGATCATATAACATATTAATTACTGTTTTCAAAAAGGGCTGATGGAAACCTGTATGAGTTCTGCTTCTCTTGAATCCTATTATTTTGAAAAATAAACAAATCTCTTTTGATTAATACAAATCATATTTTAAAAAGAAGTACTTTTCTTTCAGGTGACCTGGCACTATACAAATTTAAACATTAATATAATGAAACTGTACTACATCCTCAGTACCATGGTGCTCATGGCTTCAGCATCCTAGCCCCTATCTATACAAAAGGTGGTGTATCATAATATATAACAAATAGGCAATTATTTCACTTATCAAAGAAGTACTGCTACTGTTAGATGCAGGAAGGCTACACAAATCTTTAGGATAAGCACTGAATGCTATCTCTAACAGAAACTGCTTGGGGATTGCAGATAGGTTGAAGAGCTGATTAGCTGAGGATATAGGGTTTTATTTTGCTTAAAAGGTTCCAACAGGTCCTGAAAGTGCAAATTTCATAATGCAATGACAGATCAATGGTTCAGCGGTAAATGCAATGTTTGGACCATCAGCAGTACAGCCTTAGCTTTCCTACAGAAACATTAACCGCTATCTATTGGATCTGACTTTTGGCTTAGGAGATCTGACAGGCTCAGGTTTCTTGTGCTTTCGTGCAATGCTCTGATAGTTGCCGCATTAAGAAGAACAAGACCCAACAGTGGCAATAACGAAAGCAGTAACAGAGAAGCAGGTTTACAGAACTGAAAATAGTCTTTTCCTTGTTCTATAGATCTAACTGCTTAATCCAGGAATTTTGGCCAGGCGTGCTTTATTACCTGTTTTTTATCTCCCCAAATTAGAACTGAGTGATACAGTATAAATACGCAATCACCCCTCTTTTCCACTCTCTCTTCTTGACTGTTACTATGCACTCACTATAAACTCTTAGTGCTATGAGCTGTAACTCAGCAAGTCAAGATCCTTGCTTGTGAGCCTTCTTGTGGCCCCCCATAGCATATGTTCCTCTCTGCAGGCAGATCTTCTGGACAGAAAAGCACTGAGCTGCTGCTATGATAGCATCACTCCCAAAACCTGTGCCTCTGAGGTTGAATGTATGGGTAAGGCAAACACGGACACAGCCTTGGCCTAGTCTGTCTCCTCTATTCGCCTCTCAAGTGCAAACCACTTTCTGTGGTGGGAGTCCTCTAGAAGAAATCAGTCATTGGAGCTCCAGCTCCTCAGACTTTGCAGCAAAAATGTAGTAGAGTCATGGCCTCTTTGTGTACCACCCTGGCTGTATATAGAGTCTACAAATATAGAAGAGAGATTTCCCCAAACTTTCCTTAGGTTGAGAATAACTGGGCCTTACAGACACCTTAGCTCCACTACTACACGTAAGTGATTGATGATATACGCAGTGCTGATGATATACGCAGTGCTGAGTACTTACTTGGAGTGGTTTTGTAGTTGCATGATGTAAGCTGTCCAGCATCAGCATAGTCTTATTGCTGTTGTCTTCTAGAGAGACCCTGGCAATTTCCTTGTTATGTTTGGTTTTGTATATTTGTAAGTGTGATTATTTCTACATTAGAAACACTCTGGAAATGAAAGCTCTCTTCCACAGTTTGATATCACAGCTCTGTAAGTCAGTAACTTATCATATTGCAAAACCTCTGTCCTAATTTTGCTGTGTAACAGTAACTGTGGTTTTTGCTTTGATTCTGAAAGCTAACAATCCCTGTATAGCACACCAAATCCACTGAAATCACCTGCATCTTATAGTCATGTAACTTTTTACAGAGCTTAATCAAAGTCAGAGGCACATTACAGCTCAAAAGCTGTTCAAGTAATGTGTTTGTTTTGGGAAATCAGCTCCTGAAAGATTTAAATTCTGGTCTCATTTTATTTAAATGAACAAATTTCATATCTCAGCCACCAGTACCAAGCAGAGAGCTGCACAGTAAGCCCATTTATCTCTCCATCACTGATTTTATTACCTTCACTACTCACCTGTAATCTGGATCTATCAGCTGCTATGATATTGCTTCAGATTTGCTACACATTACAAAAGATTTCAGGCCCACGGCTCTTTTCCAAACAAGTAAAAAGAAACCAAAGAATATATTTTGGATTCGTAGGTATTCCTTCTCCACTAAACAGTATTCAGGACATAATGAGAAGGAACATTGCACACTGACAGTTCTGGAATAAGTATCATACCAGTAAAAATGCATTTCATTATAGTTTTGTTGGAACGTACTCATTTGCAAGATGAGACGATGCAGGATTCTCTATCTCAAGGCATTTCCTATGCTCCTGTCCCCACTCACTCTATATTTATTACAGGACCAGGTTACAGAACACTCATGCACTTTCCTTAGGCGGTTTGGAATGGGAGTGGTACAATCCAGCCATGGAAAAAAGCAAGCATAAAGATAGGCCACAGGAATGTATAACATGAAACTGCTGTTCATGCTGGGGACAGTACTGTATTTTTTGTGGTGACATTTAGCAAAGAGAATACAAGAGGTTACTAGTGATGCCATGAAAATCATCCGTTCTACTGATTCATGACATCATTGCAAATACTAAAACTCTCTCTTGCTTTCTCTTTCTCACTACAGTTTTACCCTCAAACTTGAATTGTCGATCTGATTCACTGTCCCGTGAGCTGTTGACTCTTTGCTCCGCAAGCCATTCGCGCGCCGCACGGACTCGACGCTTTCATTCCCAACAGTCACAGCCTGTGCCTGTCCCCAGATTGTCAGCATAGACAGCAGCAGCAAGAATGGGAATAGCACAGTGGCAACAAAACAACACACAACACGCAAAGAGAAGAATGGCTCAGTTAGAGAAGACCATCATGCAAAACAATGTGAATCACTTTCAAGACAAAATAAACTGAGAAAATCATGAGAACCAACCTCAAGTAAAGAGATGCAGACACCACATCATAAAGAGACAGCTTTAGTAACATTGTTCCCTATTTTGAAAAGTGAGCATCCAGATTCATAGGAAAGTGAAAGCAAGCCTGTGCTAACGGATAGCTGTCTCTTACTCCACCAGAATATTTCCTTGTATGTAATTAGGGCATTTCCCGTTTTGTATAGAAGCCATCTACAAGGCTTAAGATAAATGCAGATCTAGTGATTTTTAAAAAACACCTTTGTTTTAATAGTCACCAGAGTAATCATTCCCACAGCACGCGAGTAACCATTTCCATGGACCAAAGCTTCATCTTTTCTGAGTGATGTCACACGGCCATACTGTTCCTTACAGATGTTGGTGTCTTGCCAATGTGTTCACCTCTAAAGAAAACATTGTATCTGAAACTGAAAGTACAGCTCAAATACAGCAGCTTCTGCTGCTACTCTACAGCTCTTGGAAACAAAGGCTTCCAGTGGCAGTGCATCTGGCATGTTTGCCTCTGACTGGCAAGCATTTCTGTTCTCTCTGGTAATCTAATCTTAACAAGAATCTCAATTCACCTAAAAATAGCATTAAGCCAGAGGATAGCATTGGATTGCCTCCCAGAGCATCTATCAAATAATACATTAGCTACAGAACATTTATTAGACAGATCTGTCAAAACAAAAATGCCCTGTGCCATTGTTGTCATCCCTCTTGTAAAGGAACCCATTATTTGCTGTTTGGAACACTTGTGCAGCTCAAGTGAATATTTATTTTACCTACCAAATGTTCATGTGCAGCAATAAACTTAAATGTTTCTACTGGTGCAGAAAATCAGTAATAGCGGGAAGGATGAATAATGTACAGTTCTTATAATTGCAGGAATGATTGTAACTGTATTAGAATTCAATTTAATATCTATTCTTGCCTTTTAGTTTACCAAAGAAAAAAATCAGGGAAGACAGACAGACTTCCTAAAAACATTTCTAGACTGACATTCTAGAGGAGGAGGATAAGCCTCTCTTCTACATTTCAGCCACTGGTATAAAATGATGTGATAATGATACTCACGGAGAGTCCTTTTGTTAACAATTTCAAGTTAGTATCAGTAACAAACTGTGAAATAGTGGAATATAGGGAGGAAGTTTTCTCAGTCTCTGTTTTTCGGTCTCATGTGTACTGGTTTCAGCTGGGAACGACTCCAGTCTTTGGTGATTTACAAGTGAGGGCAGAACGCTGATCAGTCCTGCAACAGGCTCTCCTAAGGAATCTCCCAGTTTAACATGACTAGCTAGGGTGGCACTAGAAAAGAAAGGTCTCAAACATGTGCTGATGTCAGCAGGTTTGGATGATGTCGCAGAAATACATTGGTACACTATCTACATCACTGCTTCCAACTGTAACTTATCTGCTAGTAGATACTCCATAACAGCATAACATTAGGGGACTGAAAGAAAATCTAACATCAGTCTGGCCTGGAAGAGCTAATAAGGCACAGCTGCCTCAGAAATTGTGAGAAGAGAATAAAAAATCTCTGAATCGGTGACCAATCTATTGACATTTATTGATAAGGTCAGTAAACCGCAAATAAACCCAGCAGCCAGTTTTCAGCTCTTTATCAAGGAGTAAATCACTCAAAAGGAAACCTTAGTTTGAGACTTTCCTTACGTGAAAGAACTGAGGTGAGAAATCAGACTGTCAGCACGTTGTGAGGACAAACTCAGGCACCCTAGGTAAAGAGCAGCAGTACCTTGTTTTGTCTTCTTTGCCTTCTTCGAAGCCTCAGAAACTCCTTGTGCTGCCGTGAAACAAAGTTGACTGCTGCATATTCCAGTAATGCAGCAAAGACGAAGAGAAGGCACACAGCCATCCAGATGTCAATAGCTTTTACATAGGAGACCTAGAACGAAATAGGGCACAACAGGTTACAATCTGAACTTCTTCATAAATTGAAGATGTTTACTTGAAAAAATAAACACATTTCTTCACAGCTTGAATTGCAGCTGTTCCAGTTATTCTCTTTTTTTGTTTATTTGTTTGCTTGTTAGCTTACAACAAATAAAATTTCAAACTATTCATGGAAATGTGTGTTCACAAAAAATACACTAATTATGAGTTACTGTCTTTAACAAAAGAATTAAAATTAATCCTAACAAAATACAGATGCTCTCATAGTCACCATTACAGCCTATCAGAATGAATATGCAGACAAGGCAAGATATGATATATATTGGAAAATAGCCCTGAGAAGGTTATAGTAATGACTCTTTTCATCTTTTACGAACCAGTTACCCTATTCATTAACTAGCTATGTTTGGTATCAATGACCCCAAAGTAAACTCGGGGTACATTATCCCATTGGCTGACATAACTTCATGTATCTGTTTTTCAATATTCACTCATAGTTGCTTGACTTTTATCCAACAATCCTATAGTAAAAATACATCTTCATAGGTATGATATACTAAAAATATCCAATATCAGATGCCTTTTATGTAATAAAAGCCTATTCTGATTTGAATTTACTGGTCCACTATAAAATCAGATATATCCCAACACCGTAATGTCATAGGGTCTTTTATCCTATTACCCACACAGTAGGCTAAATGGCAGCCAATTAATGAGCTACACACTATCCATATCAAAGGCACATTGCTCTTCACAGCTGTGCTCGTTCTTTGCCTTTCCTTGTAGTCTTAAAATTTTTGAGCAAAGATTTTATATATACAGGCAGCAGCAGTTTGTCTCTTTTGTTTACCAGGTATTTTATCCAGGATGAAATTAAAATCATCTGACTTTATATGTCTGCAGTGCACATGTGAGCTAGTTTTCTAAAATCCTCTGATATGAATGTATCAAGGAATGAAGAAGAACAGGCATTACCAGGATGCAATGCATCTGACCTATTTTAAATGTCTGCTTTAAGAGGAGACGATAACACCCTAAGAGTGCCTCTTCATCTTCGTATCTGTAAAGAGGAGCTTAGAACCCCTCTCCCAGTGTAGACAGGTGGGGCTTTACTCAGTTGTGTAAATAAAAGCATCATCATCTGCCACCTTAGGTACCTAGCCTCCATTTGCTAATCCACAAGAGCACAGATCTCCAGTATCATAGTGGCAAGTCCTCTGGAGATATCTCAGATACCTTCAGGCGCCTCAGATGACACCACCACCACACAAATGAATTATGCTGCTAAAGCTATGCAAAATGGATCTCCCCGAAAGCTCTGGAAAATTATAGCAAACAGGTATTTAATGGCTGAATAATACCCTCTATGGTAAACATTTCAATGCCATCAGAACATACGGTGGTGGAAAGGGAAGCAGAAAAGGATGTGCTGTGCATCTGATGCTCTAATGTTTAGTAGAGCCAAGTCTCTTCCCTGGACAACCTCTAGCCTTACATACTTTGCACACACTATTCAAAATGACCTTGCTTTTATAGTAGTGGCTACCATTTCACATTGAAGGGAAGTATGCTTATTTCAGGATGAATGCTCCTGTTCACCGTATATTTGAATAGCATCAGTTTTCACTGTCTTGAGAGCATTTTTTTTGTTAACATAGAATGGAATACACCTCTCTCTGTGCTCCAGCAAACAATATGAGCCGGGGAACTAGCTTTTAAAGAGTGGCAGAAATGATGCAAGCTCCATTCTGCAGGTCCTGAACATTGAGCGGGAAGTTTCTGAGGAGCCAAGTACTGCTGCTCAGCACATACAGCATTCGGCAGGGAGCCTGACTACTCCAAGGGGAATCATATATTTCTGTAGCTGAGGCTATACTCCAGCTCTGCACTGCAATGCCAACTGCCGAGCTCAAAATACAACATGCCCCAGCTGAGATGGAAGAGCAGCATTTAGCAGGCTAATATGATACTATGAATTCATTTTTTTTAAATTAGATACACAGAAGGAATGCATTTCTCTCACACTCACAATAAAATCTTACAAGTTACACCTTTACTGAGCAGCTGTAAAACCCAGTGAAAACTCTACAGCATCCCAGACACCGTGCCACAGGCTGAGGCACAGTAGGAATCAAGCCACTGTAATTTCTGTAAAATGGAGCTGAGTATAGATTGATTGTTACCTTCCTTTAAGGGCCAGCTTGTTTTCCTTTACAAATGCCCTTAGGAGTCATATTAGACATGCATAAACAGCTGGAATGTGCTGCCAGAAACAGCACAATGCAGGGAACTGAAGCCACAAGAATCAGCATTTCTGACTGTGCAAATCCCATCCTAGTGTGCTTAAAGCACCTGAGGGCAAAATAATAAAGGAACCCCTGAGTTAGCCTTCCTGCCACTTACACAGTGCTGCCATAAATGGCCTTCACACAATTGCTGAACCAGCTGGATTATTTTAACTCCGGCCTACTGGACTGGAATCAGAGGAACACAATATACTTGGCAAGTACCTAGCTTGTGTTATCGTTTAGCCAGTCCCATACCATGGCACAGCTCTAAATGAGCAAATAGAAAGTGATTGCTTCCAACAGCACATTAAAAATAAATAAATGCAAAAGTGCTGCAATGGATGACAGCTGACCCATTCCTTTTCAAATCATTTTACATACTTTTACCTTTGTATCCTTGCTACATACAGAGCCCGTGCAATTTTCTGAAAAAATGACTTTTTCTAGCCACTACAGCGTGTGGAAAATTACTCAGATCTACCACGAAGCCTAGGAGGGCTAAAGCATACACAAAGCAAAGGATCAGTGGATTTCAGGGTCTGTTAGGGTCCATCTCTGCCTTAGCTGACATTCACCTGTGTCTTCTTTCGCCTGAGAAAAGTCCATATCCATCAGATCCTAGACTGCTCTGAAGTGGACCTCAGCCACCCACTGCTGAAGCTGTTCCACTTTGTATAAAAACACTTAAAAATACATTGGCTTGAGGACTTGGAACACAGCCTCCCCTTCCTAGATGGGAATCTTAACCACTGGAATATAAAGTCATTCTTTGTGTTTATGTCCCACACACAGGTAGGAAGCCCTATCACAGGGTATTTCGTGGTGGCTGAGTGGTCGGTAACATGAGCACAGAAAGGGTTTGAATTTGATCTGCACATTTCAGGTGACTGCTATAACCACTTGCCTACCATATGCTGCAGCTTCTTACTGTGTTTTGTGAGAAAAGCTGGCTCATTTGTCAATGACATGGCTTTTCCTAAGAGCTCCTCAGCATTCTCCTTACCTCCACAGGAAATTCTCCACTCCGAAGGTTATTTTGTAGATCTTATTCCTAGGTGCTTACTTCTCTTTTGCACTAAACAGGGAATGTTACACATTCAACTTTCAGTAAAATATGTTGCTCTGTGACACACAGTTAGAAGTTGGGGCCTGCAAAACTGAGCACTTTATGATATCATAGGTACATTCATTGTTTCAGCGGGTTCTTCCACCAAGCCCATAAACAGTTAGCATTTTTTTCCTCTGAATCACAATATAGCATGAAATCTCATACGTGTGCTCAACGGAAAGGCTTGACTGCACCTACTTTGATAAGGACGTGTTTCTTACCTCGAAATGCTGTATCTCTAGCTTCCTTAACTACTATGTCTATGCTCCATGTCCCATATTAACTGTTGCCTTCATGTAGGGCATAATAAAGCCTAATTTTTTCGAAACAGGATTCATCTCATCTAACTTAAAACACCTATTATGTACACGCCTTTTAAAATTAAATGGTGAGAAATAAGCAATTTAGGGTAAAATGCATCCAAGTGGAGTGTAGACAACTATACTATAGTCAAATAAACCTCATCTGAAAATGTCAGTTTCTCATTTCTGACCAAAGTTTATGCAGAGTTTACGCTGACTAGTTCAGGAGTAGATATTTGTTTTGTATAGGCCTACATTGGTTAGATAAAGCCCATGAGTCATCCATATTAATTCTAAGCATCAAACAGAAGTTATATCTAAAATCTTCCTCGCAGTGATCTGCATAACACAGGCTGTTGCCTGAGTGCTTGCTGCCTTTCCCATAACTTCACTTGCAGGAAGGAATGCAAGCTCTGCAGTAACACTACAGATACAGAGTTAACATTATCAAGCTACCAAGTATAAAATGAGAAGTTAGTAGTGATTGTTTTTTAAAAGGTACACATTGTAAAACTTTCTATGAAAAACCTATAAACCCAATAGCATGCTGGCTCCATTTACTTTGCGGAACTTGTAAAACTGGATGTTTGGAGTCTCTGCCTCATTCAGCTTTATCACTTTCAGAAAGTACATTAAACATTTCTTGTGGTTTTCTTTCTTTAAATAGCGTAACTGCTCAGTATTTTACTGAGTGTTGCAGAACTTCCTCTCTAGGGTTTTATTTTGGGATTTTCTGAGAGATAATGGCTCGCTCCTAATCAAACCATAAATTATATCAATTATTCAGATGCTCTGTAAATGTTTTAGGGTGAGTTAATGAGGAAAAGTTTTCGGAGTGAGGTCTGTCTGCAACACAAGCCAAGTATAATAAGTATGAGCATAACAAACGTGACAAAGCATCTTCTTTCCCTTCATGTATTTCCTCATCTGTTATTTGACCACGTGCACTATGTAAATAAAAGAGCACTTTGTGCTCTCTATAATATTGCTGAAATGTCAATGAACTCAGTGAAGTTCCTGAAAAGGAACATTAAAGGAAGATTTAGGCTATTCATGAACTGCTTGTATGCATTAAACCCTTTTCCAACCCTTGTTATTTTAGTACTGTGATTGTCTCACTCCTTCTTGATACTTTCCAGATATACTCATGGGTCAAAACCGGAATGAAGCATTCTTTTACAGAGAGAAACTGAGGGAAAACATGTCATGGGTACTGCAGACAAGCAGTCATCATTTGTTGAGATCTGCAAATCAACTCAAATGTGAGCTCTATTTCTGATATGGCTCAAGCATC